TCTATCTATCTATCTATCTATCTATCTATCTATCTATCTATCTATCTTTCTTTCTATCTATCTATCTATCTATCTATCTATCTATCATTCTATCTATCCCCTCTATCCCTCATCCGTTCATCCCATCCATCCATATCCCTCCACATCCATCCGTCCGTCCGTCCATCCATCCCTATCTCTCTCGCTCATTTCCATATCTATCCCACCCACTTTTCCATCCCATCCATCATCTGTTTATCACATTCATCCATCCATCCATATCCCTCCACATCCATCCGTCCATCAATTCCTCTACCTACCTACCTACCTACCTATCCTTCTTCATATGCTTTTATTATTTTATAAGTAACTCAAAGCAGCGAAAATACTTCCTCCTCCTATTTTCCCAAAAACAACCTGTGAGGTGAGTTGTGGGCGAGGACGTGCTGGCCCGTTTTCAATCCGGATGACCAAACCTCACGGTCAATGTTACAAAGAGGCTTACAAGACACCCAATAAAAAAGACAGGTGGGGCTTCGGCCACCATCTTGACTTTTTTGACTTTCCAACGTGCCACCTCATGCAATTTTACCCGCCAGTAAAACCACGGCCACGTCTCTCAGCCCCGTCATGGGTCAGTTTGCATCGCTTCTGAATCTACTTGGACATCGAGACAGCCCTCTGCACAAAAGACTTGGAGGCATGGCGGTTTTGAGTACCCTTGCGTGCAAGATATCAGCCTCCCCCTGGGGCTGTGCAGAGAGACAGGATGGTGGAGTGGTTAGCGTGCTGGATTGAGGAACCAGAGGCGCGTAAGACACAGCTGAGTGGAGACACTGAACCAGCCCAACTGAATTTTGCAGAGTTGTTGTTATGAGTAAAAAAGAAACAAGAGGAGGGGGCCGTGGCAGACCCTGCCTGTGTTCTACAAATAAAGGCTGGGTCATGATCCAGTCAATCAAGAACCAAATAAATGCAAATCCAGGCTTGCAACAGCGCTACCTATGTCATGCAGATTAACAGAGTTGAAAGGGACCTTGTAGGTCATCTAGTCCAACCCCCCGCCCAAGCAGGACACCCGACACCATTTCTGACAGATGGGCAGTCTAGTCTCTTCTTGAAAGCCTCCAGTGATGAAGCTCCCACAACTTCTAAACGCAACTTCTCTTCCTTTGGTTGACTGTTTTCACTGTCAGAAAATTCCTCCTTATGTCCAGGTTGAATCTCTCCTGGATCAGTTTCCATCCATTATTCCCTGTCTAGCTTTGGGGGGCTTTGGAAAATAGCTTGACCCGCTCCTCCTCCTCTCTGTGACAGCCCCTCAATATTGGAAGACCACTGTCCTGTCTCCCTTGATCCTTCTCTTCCCTAGACTAGCCAGGCCCAGTTCCTGCAACCGTTCATTGTATGTTTTAGCCTCCAGGCCTTTGATCATCATGGATACTGATACAGATTAACAAAGTTGGAAGGGACCTTGTAGGTCATCTAGTCCAACCCCCCACCCAAATAGAAGACCCTATACCATTTCTGACAAATGGCAGTCCAGTCTCTTTTTGAAAGCCTCCAGTGATGAAGCTCCCACAACTTCCGAAGGCAACTTCTGTTCCATGGGTTGATTGTTCTCAGTCAGAAAATTCTTCCTTATTTCTAAGTTGAATCTCTCCTTGTTCCGTTTCCATGAACTCTGATTTCACCTGTTTAGTGATAGCTGCAGCTAAAGGGCCCCACAAATTATTTATCTGCCCGTATAGGATAAAGTTGCCACTATCCATTCAATTTAGACCTAGCCATTTTGCCCCCCAGGCATCTGGGACACCCCTTTCTATTATTATCTCCATAACACCCTTGCGAGGTAGGCCAGTGAGCAGCCACGGCAGGAGATGAAACTCTGCCTAGTCCTTGACTTACAACAATTCCTTGAGTCACCGTTCAAAGTTACAACAGCGCTGAAAACAGTGAGTTATGGCCGTTTTTCACACTTACGACCTATTGTCCCGTGATCAAAATTCAGGCGCTTGGCCACTGACTCATATTTATGACGGTCCCTTTTGGCGAACTTCGGAAAAGCAGATTCACATAAGAACCATGTTACTAACTAAAACCACTGCAGCGAGTCGTAAAACGGGGCAAAGCCTGCTTCACCAATGTCCCGCTTAGCCCCAGAAATGCTGGGCTCCGTTGCGGTTGCAAAGTGAGAACTACCTGTCGTCACAAAGAGGAACCAAACTAGGACCAGGTTTCCTGTTTCTCACAGCCCCGAGAACCGGGATCGTCTCTGTGTCTCTGGGGTTGGGCTTGGCAGGCTGTGTCCCCGAGCCACCATGACCAACCGCTTCTCCCAGCACGAGCCTGGTGAACTTCTGCCTAAATGAGTCAGGCACCCCACAGATGGCCTTCCTCCAAACCCACGCAGGGGAGAATGTGCAAACTTGGAAAAGGCCCAAGAATGCCCCCAATTTCAGGATTGCTGGCCCCGAGCAAGCGGGGATGAGCTGGATGGCCTCCCGGGATCCCTTCCCAAACCGAGGGAGCCCCCGTTTGGTGCCCTGCAGAAGAGGAAGAGGAGAATCGGCTTCGGCCCACCGCTCCCCCAAACTCAGCAAGCGCTCCAATCTGGATCCGCGTCCTTGCTTTCTTTTCCTTCCTCGTCCTGCAGGTTGCAAACAATCCTGCCCGCGTAGCCACCCCTCCCTGTTTCCTGGGTTGCTGCCGCAGGGCTGCCCTCTCCCCACCCCCACCCCCACCGTTCCCTTCCCCTCCCAGGTCCCAAAAAAATCTTCCTCCCCTAACTTTGAAATGCCTGGCAGCCGCTGGCACCGTGCCGCTCTCTGCTCTCTCTCTCTCTCCCTTCCACTGCGGTGGCGGCACATAAATTATAAACACCGCCTGACCTTTGCTCTGGTTTCTTGTGGCATCCCGTGCGTGGCGCAGCTCTACTTCCCCCGCCCTGGGCATTCAGCATCTCCCCCTCACACACACACACACACACACACACACCATTGTGCAAGCTCAACACCAGGGCACCGCAGGCAAACTCCCCCCCACCCGCTCTTCTTTCCATCACCAAGGCAACCCCAGCCCAGTGCGATAACTTATCTACCCCCCCTCCCTCGCCCCGGCTCCGGAGCGCAGGGGTTCCTGTAAACAGTGCGTGGAGCGTGTGGCCGGGGACACGGTGCTTCGAGCGAGCGGCATTGTTCCTCGGCTGTTTTGTTTCCCCTTCTTTGGGACCTGTTCTTGGCAGGTACCAACGGCCCCCGGCGCTTCCAAGCTCTCTTGGCCGGCCCAGAGGGATGGGGAGGGGAGGTGTAGTACGCCTTTACAACGCCTTCCCTCCACTTCTGCCTCGGTCTGCTTTTGGGGGGGCGGGGGGTGAGACGAATGGTGGGCGAATTGGAGACGAGAGGAAGACTTTTTCGTAGGGTTCGTTCCTGCGCATTTGGAGGGGTTCCCCGTACAGTACCTTGCATGAAGCTGGGTCACCCCTCCCCATCATTGGGGAGGGGGGGAGCTCAACCAGTCCTTTTCAGAACCCGCCCGCCCCACTTTTCTGGGTCAGTAAAGGACAGGGTGTCCCTTGCCTCCTCCGGTGAAGGGGAAGGGCAAAAAAACAAGGAGGGTAGAAGGAATTTTGTTTTGTTTTTTTCCTTCCCAGCCAAATGTTTCGGTTTTTGTTTTGTTTTTCCGTGCGCCTCCTTCCTTTTCATTCTCTCAGGACCCGGCTCACCTCCCCGGCCTGTCCTCCCCGGGACTCCAGCGCTACCCGTGTCCCTTCTGCCTGCGGTGCCCGAGGCCTCTTCATCGCTCGGCCATCCCCGTGTGGCGTGCTTCACGCTCTCCGGCTCAAATGGCTTCCTGGGGATTTGCATCGTTGAGCCGTGGACTCGCCACGACATTCCTGTTATGATTTTGCAATCTCCTGGAATAACACGGCCCCAGCTCTGCGCCCGTCAACCAGCCCGAGATGAGTCATGAGCTATAAAACCACCGCTCTCGTCACCGGGAACCTTCGGCGGCAGCGCTGGCTACACAGCCTTGGTGTGTGATTCATCTCCGCCGAGGCCAACACTCGCCCTGCGGCGCAACGCACGCTCTCCCCACTGTCAAGCGCCCGGCTTTTGAGGTCACAGAGTCCTGGGGAGGCGGGTGG